CCCCGAGGCGCGTTCCGACATCCTCGCCACCCTTCCAAGCCACATCACGTCCCGAGGTTCTTGCACTAGCACGTATAATCCCTGCTTTAGCCAGTTCGCTCGTCACTTGCTCAATTAATTATGGCTCCTAGGGATTATTCCGATTACTCACTCGATTGTCCCATTCCCGCTCATAACACTTGGTATTCAAGAGCCACTTTCCTCGCGCAATAGCTTTCGCTTGCCCAAGAATTTTTCTTGGGGGGGGGAAGGAGAGATGGTTGGTGGGCTGCAGGCTGCACAGCGGTTGGCTCGGAGCTAATTTGTTAGCTCGTCAACCTATGGTGTGTGCGCTCCCTCGTCACCAGACCCCTGGCTTTGGAGGGCCAGGATTTGGTTGGGTCCTTCCTCCCCCCCAGGAACGGACAGCTGTGGCTGTCATGGCATTAATTCGCCACGTGAGTTGGTGAATTATGCATTTACTTTGTTCGTTTTGTGTGGCAACATGACGTCGTCGTCACGTGGCAGGAAATCTTCAAGCGGCTCGCCAGGAGACGTCTCCTGAGAAAAAAGCGAAGGCTCGCCCAACTCCGTGAGAAGATTTTGGAGTTTGCCAGGCGCACATGTGATGCGTCAGAAGTGTACACGGGAAAAGCCCGGGGAGCGAGAGGCGCGAAGAATTTGCCGGCGCTCTGTTTCATGTGCAAACTAACAACGTCGAAAGATTGGGCCTTGGTGTATCGTCGAGCTCCGGTAACTTCGGCGAGGGGACAAGGATGAAGTAAGGAGTCTGGCCAGCATGAACAAAGAGCGAAGGGTCTGCAGAGGACGGAAAGGACAACAGGTTAGCTAGCGTTGCACGCAGAGTGTCGTAACACTCACGGGCCGCCTGTCGCACATCGTAGACTGGGCGCCCGAGGAGCCACTGGGTCCCGGGAGGGAAGGTGCCAGTGAAGCCCTGAGGACGGCGCAGCTAAATCTGCTCGTGTAGGCTGCCCTGAAGAAACGAAGTGGAGAAGTTGAGGGAGTGGAGCTCGTAGTCATGCTGTGCTACTACGTACAGTAGAGCCCCAAGAGTAGTCATCTTTGGGGTCGGAGCGAAGGTCTGAAAGAAGTCCACCCCCTCTCGCTGACTGAAGCCTCTAGCCACGTAGCGCGCCTTGAACGCAGGCGGCTCTCCAGGGGGGCGCTTCACCTTGAAGAGCCACCGGCCATCGACTACGTTCACCCCAGGTGGGGGAACTGCGTCGACGTAGGTGCTGGTGGATCTCCAAGATGCCATCTCCTGCTCCATGGCAGCTATCCACTGAGAGGCCCAGGGTCCCGAGGTCGCCTCAGCGTAAGTTCGAGGGGTCAGGATGTCGAAAGCATCTTGGTCACCCTCAGGGACTAGCAGCATGGAATAGAGATGGGGAGCAGCCTAAGACAGGAAAGCAAGCTCGTACTGCCTGTCCTCTAGGACGTCACTGCCAAGGGCAAGAGCACCCCCGACGGACGGAGGACAGACAGGGTCAGAGACCAGAGCGGTGGCGTAGTCATGGCGGCGGGTCGAGGCGAAGTCAGTGACAAGAGCGTCAAGACTCGAGACAGGAACAGACAGGTCGGTAACGGGGGAGGCAAGGACCCGAGGAACAAGAGGACGAGCCGCACGAAGGTAGTCAAACAGAGGGGGAGGCGCAACAGCGAGCGGCGACGGAGGAGGCGAAGGCAAGAGGGGATGACGAGACGCGTGGGAACGAAGCAACATAGGGTGTGAACGCTGAACAGGAGAGACAGGACGAGGAGGGACGGCGAGACCAGACGTGAGACTGAGGGGTTGAGTCAGGAGACAGAAGAGGTGTAACAAGAGGGGAACGAGGAGGGAAACGAGCCCGGGAGGAGTCCGGCGGAGGAAACACAGGACCGTGGATAGGAAAGGGAGGAGGTGGCAGGAGAGGCGCAGGCGAGCGGTTAGGGGAGGGAAGGCTGAGCAGGCGAAGAGCGAACACCGTCAGCGACTTCTGCTGCTGCTCCTCGATGCCTACACCTGGACCGCCAGCTGCACCACGGCTACCTCCAAAACACTCCACTCCAGCACCCCCAGAACGAGCACCCCCAGAGCGAGAACCCTCTCCAGCATCTGTGCCACCCTAGAGCCTGCCGGGACAAGCCATGATAGGAACCCCAGGACTGGCACCCTCCTCAACGCCAGCACCCCCAGAGTCCACGAACTGCTGCAGCTACTGCGGCGGTGGCGGCTGCTGCGGCGGTGGCGACTGCGACGGCGGAGGAGGAGAAGCCGGGGGGGAGAGAGGCAGCGAGAACTGTGCCGCGGGGCCACCAGAGTCAGCCGACTCCTCGACCGGGACAACCGACGGGAGGGGAGTGACGTGAGACACACCAGACGGAGCAGGACGGGGAGGGAGGTGAGCAGGGGCTACCGGGGAAGTGGGAACCAGAAACAGGTGAGGGGAAACCGGGAGACCTCAGTGGGGAAAGAAGTGGTAAAAGGAGACAAGTTCGTCGAAAGTGGCGTGATGAGAGTGAAAGAAGCGGTGATACGACGGGTGGTAAAAGTGCCAGTCAGACAAGTCAAGGTGGGAACTGAGGAAGGCACAGGGGACAGTGCGGGCAGTGAGCTTGTTCGTGTGAGAGGCACGAACGTGAGCGAGGCAAACCTAGACGTGGAACGCAGACGTGTCACCAGGGAACCCGGTCCAAAGACGGGTCGGCGAAACCTGCAGCCGCTGGGAGCACTGCCAGAGGTTAAGCTGGTGAGAGGAGTAGCTCGTACCTCCATGATTCATTTTCTGTAGCCATTCGCTCTTCGCTACAAATCATGGAGGTACGAGCCACCACCATGACCAAACCGATGCATCGCTCAGCGACCCCATTTTGCTGCGGGGAGTCCGGTAGGGTGTACGACTGGGTGATGCCCTCCACACGACAGAACTGTCCAAGCCGACCAGAGGCAATCTCGCCACCACGGTCGGAGTGGAGACACAGCACAGGGAGACCGTGGTGGAGGCGCGCAGCTATGACCCACGGGATAAGAACGTCAGGCACGTCGGCCTTCCGCTCCAAGGGAAACACCGTGGTGTAGTGCGTGTATTCGTCCACGAGCACTAAGTAGCACTCGCGACGCTGTCCAGGGACGGGGTCTGGGCCCCAAACGTCCAGGTGCAGGGTCTAGAGGGGTGCGGTGGCAGGACGAAGTGAGGAGGAGTGAGGAGCACGGCGGAGCCGGCCCTCGACGCAGGGCATGCACTGATAAATGTGTAGTGTTCTGTGGTGTAGTTTGCTCTAGCTGGTTGTGGGCTATTGGGATTTGGGCAAAAGAACTTGGGTTGGTTGACAGGTTTGATCTCGTTACCTTTCCAACCCATACAACCTCAACCCCACTACAACATCTTTGATGTTGCAGTTGTGGCACTTGGGAGTCTTGAGGTTTTGTCTAGGGCAAGGGTTGGTGGTGTTTGACAATCACATACTCGAACTTTTCCAGATCTAACTGCTTCCCTTCTCGTTTTTACTAGGTGATTCAAAGCTGCCTAGCCAAATTACCAGAATATCCCCTCACATTGATTTCGTCATAATCGGTGGCTCGGATCTTGGTTATGAACGTGCTTTACCATTTTGGAAATTAGAGATTAAGACCTTTCCAACGCATATGAGCTTATTTCAAGAAGTTACCTGAACTGCACGCAATGTTCCGTTGAGGTCGTCAGACTTAATCTCTAATTAGTTCTCTCCAGATTTGCACGATTTCCATCATGCACGGCGGCGCAGGCGACGGAGGGAGGGCAAGAAGCGATGCAGGGAGACCTAGGACAAGACCATGCTGGGACCTGTGACGCAGACGCGGGAGTGCAGGGTGACCTAGGCAGTGGTGCCACAGAAGCGACGGGTGAGTGAGCGACTGACACGAGCAAGCAACGACGACCTGGGTAGACGCAGGACCCGGGGAGGACGCCCCATCCGATGTGGAAGCAGTGTCCAGCGTAAATAGGCCAGACACTGGGCCCCGGGGGAATGTCGCAAGGGGGGAACCCGAGGCGTCCTCGATGCAGACAGCGTACCGCTCGTGACCCAGGAACATAGTGGTGACGTTGAGGTCCTGAAGACAGCCGACACCAACTAAGTTCTGGGAGAACGAGGGGATTTGCAGGCCTGTAAGGGAACCCGAGGGAACCACTGGACAGGGAAGGGTAGTGTAGCTGCGAGCAACGACAGGACCAGAGGAGGGGTCAGCAAGCGCGACAGCGGCAGGTGCGGCAAGCGGCGTCCCGCCACACCCTCTCCTGCTCCCTCCCTCGCGCCCTCTCCCTCCTCTCCAACCTCATCTCCCTCGACCTAGCCTCCAACCGCCACCTGTCTGGCCCCATCCCTCCCTCCCTCTTCGTCCTGCCCGCCCTGCGGGAACTCAACCTGTGGGGAAACACGCTCACAAGAGGTGTGCTGCCAAGCAGCCTGCAGCCGTGTCCCCCTCGCTAGAGGCACTGGACGTGGGGGGCAACATGCTCTCGGGGCCCATTGCAGAGCACATCGGCAGGCTCACCTAGCTCACGCACCTGGCTGTGGACCACAACCGACTGGACAGCACCATTCCAAGGCAGCTTGGCGCGCTGTGGATGCTGAGGGACGTGCAGCTGCAGGGGAACGCCTTGCAGGGAGACCTCACTGCCTTTGCTGCTGCCTTCGGCTCAGCCTCCCTCGCTGTTGCAGCAGCTGCTGCTGCTGGCTCTGCTGCGTCCAGTGCACCTGTCGCGTGGTGTGTGGGCGGGCTCTTCCCTCTGCTCACTTTGCTGGACCTCAGCAGCAACCAGCTGTCCGGCCATGCCGCCATGCTCTGTCCTCTCCCAATGGTTGTCGAAGACTATTACACTGTCCCCGCCCCCTCAGCACTCTATGTACAGTACTTGAATGCCTTGCACGACAACTTCACCAGCAGTCCGTTTCGTAACCTTTGGAGAGCGTCGGTTATTGACCTCTCCCACAACCGCATCAGTGAGTCACGGCAAGACATGTTTCGGAACGCCAGCGCCTCTGTGATGTCTGTGCTGCGCCTGGCACACAACCAGGTCTCAGGAAATGTGGACTTATGGCTGCTGCAAGCAGTGAGCAGTGAGGTGGACCTCTCACACAACCTTGTCAGTGGCACACTGCCCCACCTATATCCAGAATGGAGAAGTTTTCCAACCCTCACGTACCTCAACATTGCAAGCAACCTGCTCTCTGGCACGCTGCCGTGCAATGTCACTCAATTGCCAGCCCTCACCCACCTAGACCTCTCAGGCAACAAGCTCAAGGGCTCCCTGCCTGCCTTCTGCAGCAACCAGCCGCGATTTGCCACTCTCCTCCTCTCCTCCAACTCTTTCTCCGGTTCCCTCTCCTCTCTCTCCTCCTCCTCCTCTAGTGCCTTCTCCCTCCGTTCCCTCGACATCTCCAGGAACCAGCTCTCCGGGTCGCTCCCCTCCTCCCCCTCGCGCCTCACCGCACTGCACTCCTTCCTAGCCGCTCACAACCACATCAGCAGCAGCATCCCTGCCATGCTAGCATTTCTGAAGCACCTGCAAGTTGTGGACTTGTCATGGAGCAGGCTGTCAGGAGTCATCCCTTCACTGCTGCGCGCAACAACCTCCTCCCTGCAAGTGCAGCTCGCTGGCGCTGTCCCCCAGAGTCTCTCCGACCTGCCCCTCTCCTGCTTCCGCCCCGGCAACCCTAAGCTCTGTGGAGGGACCCATGTGCCGCTCCTGGGGGTCAGGGTAACTGGATTTTGAGAAATTGCAATTCACAAATGCAGTGTACCGTATGATTACCAGCAACTGTACATCACTCTTACCATAGTGTTTTGTACTCGATATGTCAAATAGCATGTACTATATCTCCTAGTTAGATGATATGTAATTATATATCCTCGCTAGGTCAGCTTTAGGGAGTACAACACCTTGTACTTGTATCTCCCCCTCTCCCTTCCTAGTCCAACTTTTCTCTCGCTATATTGACACAGCATCTGAGCTAGGCTTAGGATCCCCCCCCCATACGCTTCCACCCTAGCACACGCCCTAGCCTAGCGTGCCTCACCCCTGCCTGGCGTGCCTCGAGCTTCGCGCCTCGCGCGTAGTCGTCGCTCCTCCCCACTAGCCTTGTGACGGCTCACTAGCCTTCGCGCATCCCCCCACTAGGCCCTAGCTGGCCCCATGCTAGCGCCGCCAGCCAGCGCCCGTCGCTGCCTCTCCCTGGCCCGTCGCTGACCTCCCTGGCCCACCGCCACCCTCCCTGGCCCATCGCGAACCCGTCGCCAGCCCACCCCTATTTGCTCGCCTCGTAGCCAGCGTCATCTCCAGCTAGCTAGCGGCAGCTAGCGGTAGCCAACGCCCGCCAGCGCCAGCAAGCGCCAGCCAGCACCAGCCAACGCCAGCCAGCGCTAGCCAACGCCAGCCAACACCAGCCAACGCCAGCAAGCGCGAGCCAACGCCAGCTAGCCAGCACCAGCCCACGCCAACCAACGTCAGCCCACCAGCGCCAGCCATCTAGCAAGTGCCAGCCAGCGTCAACGCTACTTAGCCAGCTTACCACTGGCAGCGTGCTGCCAGCAGCGCGCTGACGGCTCTTTCCCTCGCAGCATTCTGCCCACTGCCGGCAGCCAGCCAGCAGCTTGCCGCCAGCAGTGCACCACCAGTCGCTCACCGCTAGCAGCGCGCCGCCAGCCGCTCGCCGCCAGCAGCACGCCACCAGCCGCCCGCCGCCGGCAGCTCGCCGCCAGCAGCTCACCGTCTGCAGCCTGCTACCGCCACTCGCTGCCGCCACTTGCAGCCCACTGCTGCCGCTGCCTACTGGCACTGCTCGCAGCCTGCTACTACTGCCGTTCGCTGCCACCACTCGCAGCCCGCTACTGCCGCCACAGGCAGCTGTCAGAACTCAGTCAAATGGCTTATTAAGTAGCGCGTATGTGCGCCCATAACCCCCTAGGCAGAAAGATGGCATATAGCCCTTCCCCGAGGATCAAAGGCCACCCCAGCGTGTCTCTTGACAACCCCCCTCACTAGGATAGGCTGAAGATACAAGCACCTCTGCAGCGCTGGCACTGGGAATTGAACCCGGGTCACCCGCCTCCGATACCATGTAAGAACTCAGTCACTAACCACGGAGCTAAAAGAGCTTATTAAGTAGTGGGTATGTGCGCCCATAACCCCCCAGACAGAGGTATGGTCTGTAGCCCATCCCCGAGGATCAAGGGCAACCTCAGCATGTCTCTGGACAGCAGCCACCCGCTGCCGCCGCCAGTTGCCGCCATTTACGACCTCCTACTGCCGCCTACTGCAGCTCACCCCTGCCGTCACTGCTGCCATTGCTGCCCCTCACAGCCAGCTGCCGCCATGGAAACTGCGTCTAGCCTCAAGCCTCCACCTCGACACCGAGGGTCGCGCCCTTGGCTTCTCGGCCTGGCTGGTCGCTCTCCGACGCCAGCTCACGTCTATTCTTCAGGATGGAAAGACCCTGGTGCCACACACCTCAGGTACATTGCCCGCTCCCCCGGAGCCCACCGCTCTTACTGCTGATGCGATGTCCAAGCAGCGGACGACGCATGAAACTGCCCTAGCCGTCCTCTCTATCTGGGAATCCCGTGACACAGCTGCGCAGCTAGTAGTCACTAGGGCCCTTCCCCCAAATGTGCAGGCTCACTTTGAGACTCTAGAGACTGCTAACGAAATCTGGGATACAATTGTCGCTCTCTACTCTACCTGGCTCGCACCTCCTTGGTCTCCCCCATTTTCTATGGTCGTTCACCTTGCGCTACGCAGCTCACTATCTTAACATGTGGCCGCCTCCTTGCGCCCACAGGTTTCGCCGACCCTCCTCTTGACCGGGTCCCCTGATGACGCCTCTGCGTTTCACATCTAGGGCAGCCTTGCTCATGTCCACGCCACTGGTGTAGACAAGTTCTCAGCCCGCACTCTCCCATGTGTCTTCCTCAGATTTCCGCTTGACACCCCTGATTGGCAGTTTTACCACCCATTATACCACGGCTTCTACCGTTTGCGTGACGTTACCTTTGACGAGACAGACCCTTACAACACCTGCTTCCCTCACCGTGCCTCTTGTGTCCCTCCTCCTCATCTCTTTCTCGCCCCTACCCTGACTGCCGCACCCCTCCCACCCCGCCTGGCCCCTTGTATTTGCGGAAGAAGCAAGCAGACGCACCAGAGTCAAGTGAGAAGGATAGCGAAGCAGTAGCAGCGGACGAAGGAGGAGCAGGGGTAGAGCCTAGGCTAGACAAGCAAACGGTCCTATGCCTGACGCAACAGGGGAGTCTGTACTACACACAGGTGCTATGCCTAAGCTAGAGAACTCAGGGTAATAAGATCCGGGCACACTAGAAGCGGCAGCATACAGAGAATGCATGGCAGAACTTATCTGATCCATATCTAAGTCAAAAAACAGACACACCGTGGCGCAGCAGACTAGACCAGTCAGGAAGGTCCGGGGCCGGGCCGAAGCGGCGACGGAAAAGGTCATCAAGGCGGCAGAAGCAGCGGGCAGTCGGGTGCAGGCGGCGGTACACAGTGCCACGGAGGGGCCCGGTCTGGAGCTGGTACTGGCAGCTCACAACACCGTAGCCGCCGGTAGACGCCGAGCTGCAAGGACTGCCACCGCGGCCACCACCTCCAGGGGCTCCTGGCCACCCCGGCGGGAGGCGGGCCCATGGCTGCTGCTGCTGTTGCTGCTGCTGCTGCTGCTGCGTGTGCTGCAGCTGCTGCTGCTCCTGGACACCAGCCCCAGCCCCCTCGTCAGAACCACTGTCTCCGCCACCACCACCACCGCCAATACCACCACCATGCCCTCCCTTGGGGCCGCGACGGCCCCGACGCTGTCGCTGCTGGCCGCAGCAGCGATCTCAGTAACAGGAGCAGCCGTGGCGACCACGGCGGAAATGTCAGCGTACGTGTACTAGGAGGGAGCACAGCTCTGAAAGATAGGGACTGCCGCAACACCGCTCGACTGAGCGATAGTGCGCTGGCGAGTCTCTATCTGAAAAAGGGCAATGACAAAGGCGGTCAGGGTGAGGGCACCAGGGTGCTGGCTAAGGAAGTGGTCGCGGGCAGTGGCTAAGCGGTCAGGCAGGCGCATGGCAATAAGGTACAAGGTAACGCATAATGGCGGGGGGAAGGCAGTGAGCTGGGCGGTAGTGCTAGCAGCGCAGTAGCTAATCTCTAGTGCACGGAGGTGAGTAGCGAGGTCAACGACAGTGGGGAAAGCGGAAAGATCAGGGAATAGCATGGGGAGGATCAAGCGGCCAATGGAGGCAGAGGCGGGTGTGGAGTAACGCGCAACTAATGCATCTAGGAAATCCTTGGCGTTCGCGACAGCAGTGAAGCGCGGACGCTCAGACAAGGGAAGCGCATGACTAATGGCGAGTTGCGCTACAGCATCGCGAGAGTCCCAAACAGCGCGAGCGAGTGCACCAGCAGCAGCAAAGGCTTCACTCTCGGCAGTTGTGGGGTCAGCAGGGAGGGGATCAGGCACGGAGGGGCGGGGAAGCAAGCCATCAACATGCATAGCCAGGGAGTGCCCATCCTGGCCCTGACCTGCAGGTGACGGCGGATGTCACAGGATCGAATGTGTCGAGGAAAGGTTGCACTATCGATCGGTACAAGGCGCTTTTATACTTCCAGAATACATCAGGTAACCAGGTTTATCTTATCCTAAGGGAATAGACCCTTCTAGAAGATAGAATCACCCTGCGTATAGCCACGCGAGGCTATTGGCTTTAAGGGATTACAGCAGGATTACGCTAGATAGCGTGTCTAGAACATTCCATGCCTGGTCGGTGATATAATAATAATAAAGGAAGAAACCAAAGGATAATGGAAAATGGGGAATATGAGGCAAAAGGAGGTGAGATAAAAAGAGGAATGAAATGAAGATGAAATATGGAAAAGGCCAAGTGGTGTAACGGAGTCGTACTCTCACACTTCCCCCCCTCAAAGCTGGGTGGTAGAAGTAACACCCTGCTTGACAAGGTAGTCATGCAGAGGACGACGGGCGTTACCCATGTCGGACTCAGAGACCCAGCTGTCCTCAGAAGGATCATAACCCTTCCAACGGATGAGAAGTTCCACGGTGCCATTCCGACGACGACGATGTGCAAGCACGGACTCGACCTCGTACTCGGGTTCGTTCTGGACGAGGACGGGCGGCGGCGGCGGCGGCTGGCGTCCGACGAAAATTGTGTTCGGGTCCCGATAGGGCTTCAGAAGTTGGACGTGGAAGGCGTTGTGAATCTTCCAGGTAGCTGGCAGGCGTAAGCGGAAGGTAACAGGAGTGACCTGTGCTTCAACGAGAAAAGGCCCGCAGAAGCGAGGTCGCAGTTTAGATGGGAGATGGCTTATGTCCAGGTTGCGGGTGTCAAGGAGAACCTGGTCTCCCACGGAAATGGTGTGGTCGTTGCGATGGCGATCGGCCTGGCGCTTCTGTTGCTGTTGAATGTCAAGGAGGCGCTTATGGGTCCGATCCCAAAGCTGATGCATGGTTGTGATGAAGTCGTGTGCAGGTTGGACTGTTGCTGATGTTGTCGGTTTCTGTGGTGTGAGTGGGTGGCGTCCGTAGCAGAGGAAGAACGGCGTCTATCCCGTAGCGGCGTGTGTAGCGTTGTTGTAGGCAAACTCCAGGACGGGTAGGTGCAAGTCCCATTTGGAGATGTCGTCCTTGCAGGCTGCTCGGAGGAGTTGCTCAACAATTTGGTTGAGGCGCTCGGTCTGTCCGTCTGTCTGCGGATGGTATGCAGATGACATGGCGAGTTTGGTGCCGAGCAGAGACATAAGTTCCTTCCAGAACTTGCTAGTGAACTTGGGGTCTCGGTCGGAGATGAGTGTAGTTGGGATGCCATGCTGTGAGATGATGTGACGAATGAAGAGCTGTGCTGTCTCCTCGGTGCGTGCCGTGGTGTGTGTCGGGATGAAGTGTCCCATTTTGGAGAACTTGTCAATGACGACAAGGATGGCGTCATGACCGCTGGAGGTAGGTGGTAACCCGGTGATGAAGTCTAGGCTAACCACTTGCCATGGTTGTTCTGGGACAGGAAGAGGCTGCAGTAGTCCCGCCTTTTTCTGCTTGCTGCTCTTCATCCGCTGACATGTATCACACGAGGTGACGAATTTCTGGACGTCGTCTGCCATATGGGGCCAGTAGTAGTGTTTGGCGATACCGGTGAGCGTCTTGTTGCTACCGAAGTGTCCGGCGTACAGGACGTCGTGATATTCTTCGAGTAGTAACTGGCGCAAAGGAGGGTAATTGGGTACCCAGATTTTTGTGGATCCCTTCCGGTACGCGATGGCACTGTCCCACTGTAGCAGATGTCGCTTTTCTGCCAAGGGAATTTCGGGGTCGATGGCGTACCCGTGGGTGAAGAGTCCCTTGAGTAGTGGATTCATCCCTTCGACCTGAATCGCGGCAACGTGTGCAGGCCGGCTGAGAGCGTCTGCTTTGTTCTTGTGGCCGGGCTTGTACACGATGTCGTAGTGGAAGTGTGTCTCGAGGAAGTCGATCCACCGGACCTGCCGCCTGGAAAGGTTGGGTTGTGTCTTCAAATATTTCAGGCTGCAGTGGTCGGTGTAGACGGTTGTTCTGCGTCCTTCGAGATAACATCTCCACGCTTTGAAGGCGATGACAATGGCAAGGGCCTCTTTGTCGTGTATCGGGTAGTTGAGTTCTGCCCCGTGCAGTTTCTTGCTGAGGTAGGCAATTGGTTGCAGTCCATTCCCCTGGTCTTGCATTAAGACTGCTCCCACTGCCTGGTCGCTGGCGTCAGCTTCGATTACGTAGTCGCGTTCGGGATCTGGCAAGATGAGCACCGGTGCGGACGTTAGTGCTTGTTTCAGCTGCTCCACGGCTTCCTGGTGCTTCGTCTCCCATTTGTAGGGCGTGTTCTTCTTCAGCAGATTCGTGAGTGGTGCCGCGAGTTTCGCATACTGTGGCACGAACCTGTTGTAGTAATTAGCGAAGCCTAGGAACTGCTGCAACTCCTTCACGTTCTCGGGTGTCTTCCACGTACGTACGGCTTCGATTTTCTTGGGGTCGACGTGAACTCCTTGAGCGCTCACCATGTGGCCTAGAAATTGGACTTTCTCCAGGGCGAATTCGCTCTTGGACAGTTTGACGTAGAATCGTTCTCGTCGAAGAATTTCGAAGACGCGTCGCAGGTGTTCGACGTGCTGCTTCATGTCGCGCGAGTAGATGAGTATGTCGTCCAGGTACACCACCACGCATTCGTCCAGAAGTGGTCGTAGAATGTGGTTCATTTCGGCTTGGAACGTTGCCGGTGCGTTGGTGAGTCCGAACGGCATGACCAAATACTCGTACGATCCGTACCGAGTTCGAAAAGCAGTTTTGTGGATAGAGTTGTCCGCCATCCGTATCTGCCAGTATCCGGACCGCAGATCCAGTTTGGAAAATACCGTAGCTCCCCGAAGCTGGTCAAGCAGGTCATCGATTCGCGGTATCGGATATTTATTCTTGATGGTCTGCTTGTTAAGAGCTCGGTAGTCGATGCACATGCGCAGGCTTCCGTCCGGTTTCGGTGTGAAGAGTACTGGGGCACCGTATGGCGAAGTAGATGGTCGGATGAGTCCTTTGGCTAGGAGATACTCGATCTGCTTCTTCATGTCGGTCAGCTCCGTAGGGCTGAGCCGGTATGGTGCTCGGAAGGTCGGCTTCGAACCTGGTTCCTCCACGATCTCATGTTGATGTGTGCGGTATGGCGGTAGCTCGTTCGGTAGGTCGTCAGGAAGAATGTCTTGGAACTCCTTCAGCAATTCCTTGATTTTTCCTGGAGTTTCCGAGGCTTTCTCTCTGTCATTCTCCACCTCTGTTGCTATCGCCAGGAACCCGGTGTCGGTCCGCTTCACGTCCTTCTCGAATCGTGCGAGTGTCTCCACTGGGATATCTCCAGTGTCGTCCCAGTTGGGTAGCTGTACTCTCCGTCCATTGTTGTAGATGCTTGCGGTGCGGTTCACC